TTTTCATGGCATCCTTGATTTCTTGCATGTTTTGTGTTTGGGACTTTTCCAATTTACTTTTTCTTTGAGAGAGGTATCAATTTCAGCAAGTATATCTTCAGCACCTGAGATTCTCTCTTCCATGTCTTGTATTCTATTGGTGATGCTCACCTTTGTGGTTCCTGATCTTTTCTCTAAGTTCTCCAGCTCCAGGGTTTTCTCTGTTTTCTTTATAGATTCTAATTCTGTTTTCATGCTTTGCACCATTTCCTTCATGTGTTTGAATGTGGGTTCTTGCCTTTGTATAATGGTTCCTATTTTTTTTGTTTGTTTCCTCTATATATGCCACTAATTATTCCTCTACTTGGGCAGTTATATTTTTCTGTATTTCTTTGAGAGCTTTGTTCATTTCCTCTTTTTGTTCCTCTAATAACTGCATAAGCATAGCTTTAAAGTCATTTTCCTGTGTTTCTGCTGAATTAAAATATCCATTGATTTTGTGGGTTGCTGGTGGAGCCATGATGTCCTGATTTTTGTTGGGTGTGTTCTTACGCCGACCTCTGGCCATTTGCTTATCTGTAACCTCCACTATTTGTTCCTGGAGTCTGTACTTCAGACTGAAACCATCTTTCTCTGGTGTCTGGAGTATTCTTCAGGAAGATGAGAGAGGTCCAGTGGTTTGAGTGTGTGAGTTGTTGCTTCAGCTGTACCTGAGGGAGAAAAAGCTGCTGGCTCAGAATCGCTATTGCGGGGGAGTAAGCGTGTGTGTGTGTGTGTGTGTGTGTGTGTGTGTGTGTGTGTGTATGTGTGTAAATGTGTTGAAAGGGAAAGTGCTAGAGGGTATAGGTGCTTGGGATATGGGGGATGGTAGCAAGCACAGGAGGGTATGTAGATGCTAGCGCTGTTCGCAAGCACAGATTGCGGGCACAAAGCACCTGTGCAGATTTCATGAATACCCAGTGGTCTACACTCTGTGGCAGGCTCTGCGAGCTGGACTCTGAGCTCTGTGGCTGAAGGTGCAAGCCGGACACGTACACTGTTGCACTGTTGCAGACTCTGTGTACCCGGCCCTGTGCTCTGTGCTAGAAGCTGTGGGCACAGCAGGATGGGCTTTGCTCTCTGAGTTGGACAGCGCTGTGTGCTTCCTATGCTGCCTCCTCTCAGCCAAGGAGGGAGAACAGAGGTCAGTCATGGGGGAAATGCTGGCGTTTGATTGTTCTCACTCTCAAATCCCAAGAAGGGAGATCTGTGCTTGGAGCAGCCAGAACTGCTCTCTTTGCAAGTTGCTGCATGCACTGCGGGCCGCTTCCTCTGCTTCCACTGCTGGCTGTGGTACCTCTGCCACTGCTTCCGCCCTTTACAGGGAAGTGCCCGAGAATTGATTCCCCAGGAGAAGTCCACGGAGATGTCCGAGGTTGACCTGTGCCCTATTGGTTTCAGTTCAGGGTTTGTTCCTCTTCTCCCCGGAAGCCTTGGTGCCATTGTTTTGGGTTCCACTGCCCCTCCACTCACCAATTCGGAGTTTCAGCTCCTCTGCCCCTCAAATACAGTGCACGCTGTTCACTGCCATCTTGGATCCACTCTTCTTTGTATTTTTGACATGTTAACATAGTATGCTATGAGAAGGTTGTTCCCTGGTCATTTCTCTTTGGACTTATAATTGCCTCTTACATTTGAATGTCTGCTTAGATCTCTAGTTCTGAACTTTTATTGTTATTTTATTCAACAAAATCTTCATGACTTTGTTGTTTATGTCAGCTCCTTCTACCATGTGGATACTGAGTATGGTATTTTGATCATATTCCAGAGTTCTTGGATATTGTGGTAATGCTTGTTTGTTTATTTCTCTTTATTGTTGTTAGAACACAGTATTTCAAAAATCTCCTTCATCCCTGATAATTTTCTGTGATTAGATGGATGTATTGGTAATTCAATCTACTATGTCCTTTGATTATGTTCATTGAGTTATTTTCATTTTCAACATTGTTATTTTTTCCCCTTGAATCTTGTCTAGTCCTGGAACTTATTTTGAAAAGAGGATATTTTTAATGACAGCTTCAATATCATTGCTTATAATGAGTCCGTTTAAGTTGTTCATATTTTCAAGGAGTAGTTTTGGTAGATGATATGCACATAGAAATTCTATTTTCTCTGAGTATCTAGGTTTCCAACATATAAATTTTCACAGTAATTTATATAGATAGTCTGTATTTCCTTGAAGCTATTTATAATTACATCCCCTTTTCTATTATTTATTGTAAACATTGTATAAAAATATTTGTTGTATATAATATTATCTTTAATACAGATCTCATTTGTTCATGACACACTTCTTATATCTAATTTCATTAATTTGAGTGTTACCCCTCTTTCTCTTTGATTATCTCTCAGATTAGCTAGGAGTTTGTAAATCTTACTAACTTTACAAAGAAATATCTTTGGTTGATATTATGTATTGTTCTTTTTATCTCTGTTTCATTAATTTCTAACAATGTCAATTTTCTTGGTAAAATTTTCTCCCAATTTTTTATACACATAGCTGAATTTTTAAATTTCAATTTTCAGACTTTATAAAAAGTGATGGGTTGAATTCACCTGATTGTTTATATGCACTCTCAAGTCCTTGATCATTTTTACCAGTAAATTTTTGAAAAGCTTCTGTAAAGAAAAAAACAAAACAAACAAACAAACAAAAAAACACTGTAGTCGGAAAAAAACAACAGCCTAAAGATTGGGAAAGGATCTTCACCAACCCTATATCTGACAAAGGGCTAATATCCAGAATATATAAAGACCTCAAGAAGTTAAACAGCAAAAAATCAAGTAACCCAATTAAAAAAATGGGGTTCAGAGCTAAATAGAGGATTCTCAATAGAGGAATATCAAATGGCAGAGAAACACCTAAAGAAATGTTCAACATCCCTCATCATCAGGGAAATGCAAATCAAAATGACAATGAGATTTCATCTTACACCCATCATAATGGCTATGATCAAAAATTCAAGTGAGAACACATGCTAGAGAGGATGTGGAGAAAGGGGAACCCTCCTCCATTGCTACTGGGAATGTAAACTTGTACAATCACTTTTGAAATCAATATGATGCTTTCTCAGACAATTAGGAATAACGCTTCCTCAAGATCCAGCTATACCACTCCTAGGCATATATCCAAAACATGCTCAAGTATACAACAAGAACAATTGCTCAACCATGTTCATAGCAGCTTTATTTGTTATAGCCAGAATCTGAAAACAATCCAGATGTCCCTCAACTGAGGAATGGAGACAGAAATTGTGATACATTTACACATTTACATTCATGGAATACTACTCAGCAATTAAAAACAAGGAAATCATGAAATTTGCAGGCAAATGGTGGGAACTTAAAAAAGATCATCCTGAATGTGGTATCCCAGAAGACAAAAAGCACACATGGTATATACTCACTTATAAGTAGATATTAGACATATAATACAGGATAAGCATACTAAAATCTACACACCTAAAGAAGCTAAGCAAGGAGGAAGACCCTGGGTAAGATGGTTAATCCTCATTCAAAAAGGCAAATGGAATGGACATTGGAAGAAGGGAGAAAACAGGCAACAGGACAGGAGCCCACCAGAGAGGGCTGTTGAAAGACTTTACCCAGCAAGGTATCTAAGGAGATGCTGAAACTCGTAACCAAACTTTGGGCAGAATGCAGGGAATCTTATGAAAGAAGGGGGAGATAGAAAGACCTGGAGGGGACCAGAGCTCCACAAGAAAAGCAACAAATCAAAAAAATCTGGGCACAGGGATCTTTTCTGAGACTGATACTCCAACCAAGGACCATCCATACATGGAGATATCCTAGAACCCCCAGAACCCTGGCACAGATATAGCCCATGGCAGCTCAGTCTCCAAGTGGGTACCCTATTAATGGGAACAGGAACTGTCTCTGACATGAACTCAGTGGCTGACTCTTTGATCACCTCCCCATGAGGGAGGAGCAGCCTTACTAGGCCACAGAGGAATACAATGCAGCCAGTCCTGATGAGACTTGATAAGCTAGGGTCAGATGGAAGGGGAGGAGAACCTCCCCTATCAGGGGACTTGGGGAGGGGCATAGGAGGAGATGAGGGAGGGAGGGTGGAATTGGGAGGGGATTAGGGGAGGGGACTATAGCAGGGATACAAAGTGAATAAACTGTAATTTATAAAAAATATAAATAAAATTTAAACAGTGAAAAAAATTTGAAGTCTTCATCTGGAATTTTACCTATTTTGTTTTCAATAGTTATACTCCTTTGGAGAAGTCATGTTGCTTTGTTTTTTCATGCTTCTTGCAATTCTGTGTTGTAATTTATGCATTTGTTGGTTTACCTATTTCTTTGGATGTGGAGGTCATCTTCCCATTGAGCAACTTATACTTTAAGTCTCAATACCATCACCATTCAGTAAAGAAAGAGCAAACTCCTCTAAAAGAAACATCAAACCATACAGGATATAGATACATACTTAAAACATATTTTAGCCCATTAGTATACTGTAAAACATCATCAGTGACAACAAACACATGAGACAGTAAAAAATATTGGAAAACGCGCCATAAAATTAAGAATCATTTAAGATAACAATGGAATAGTAAATCAATGACATGAAGGAAGGAGACAGGTGAAAGGGAGAAATAGAGAAGCTACACTAAATATATGAATGGAGAAAGAAGAATGTTATAGAGAGCTAAATAAAGAAGGAAAAGCCTAGAAAAAAGCAATTTAGAAGTGAAAATTTTTAAATTTGCCAATGGTTTAAAAAGTTTTAAAACAAATAAATTATTAAAAGACAAAAATCTGAATATTAAAATTAATCCTCCACCCCCTTAATAAGAAAAAAAGACCTGAAAATGTACAGATTATGACAAAAAGGGAAAACATCAGGACTTGGGACTTGGGGAGGGGCATGCATGCAGAGGGTGGAGGAAGGGAAGAATTGGGATGGGAGGAGGAAGAGAACCACAGGGGAGATACAAAGGGAATAAAGTGTAATGAATAAAGAAAAAAAATGTAAAAATAAATAAATAATTTTTTAAAGAAATTAGGAAAAAGAAAAATATTCAGCCCAAATAGGAAGACATGCATAAGCAAAATATGAGTATGTTCAAGAGAATAACAAACCAGAAAACAGAAATACAGCAAAGTCAAAATCCTGCTAGACATAAAGGTGGGGGTAGAAAGAAGAATTACAAAAGGTAAAATGAGGAAGGTAGGGTGTTAGATTAGCTTCTTTCTAGGCTATCAAAAATTGGAAGCTGCTGTTGCGTCCAAGGTCAGTTGAACAGATGGAAGCATATGTTTTCAGTGCTGTTGTAAAGTCTGTACTGAGCAAGTGTCTGATGTCCACTAGAGCTGTCATTACAGTGGTAGCTTTCTTTCTCCATGTACCACAAGCTTCTGTCAGCAGTGCTTATCTTTGCACTGCACAGTCTTGAATATTATCTCCCCCACCCAACACTCTCCAGATTGTAGGGTCTGGCTAATGTCTTGGGTGAGATGTCTCCCAAGTGCATTAGGACTGTGGGAAACAAACAGCACAGAAATTGGTATGGGTAAAAAACTCTGTCTTCATACATTCAAGACATGCTGAGTATTAATTACCCTGTTGGAGAAACACAGCTGTGGATGTCCTGTTGTGGTGGTTTGAATAAAAATGAACCCCACAGAGTCATAGTGAGTGGTACTAGCAGGAGGTATTGCTTTGTTGGAGTAGGTGTGGCCATGTTGGAGGAAGGTGTGTCATAGGGGCAGACTTTGAGGTCGCAGATGCTCAAGCCAGGCCCAGTGTCTCATTCTCCTGTCTCTTGCCTCTGTTGTCTGTATGTAGAACTCTCCACTGCTTCTCTAGTACCAGGTCTGCCTGCAGCCTGCCATGCTTTCCACCATAATGACAATGAACTAAACCTTTAAACTGTAAGCCAGATCCAATTAAACTATTTCTTTCTAAGAGTTGTTGTGGCCATGGTGTCTTTCACAGCAATAGAAACCCTAACTAAGACAGTTGTCCAACCTTGGAACTTCTGAGTTCTCACTCTACAGCAGTAAACAAAGGTGGCTTCAAAATTAGATCTACATACTGGCCTTGGGCTCAAAGTTACCAAACTCTTAGAGTTATTTTCAATTGATGATGTCAGTTCCTAGCCATCCAAGGTAGGTTGTGCACTTCCAGCCTGACCTGGGTATTTTGCTACTTGCACCATTTGTCTTTCTAGTATTTGGTTCTCCTACTTTCCTCAGCTGCATCCATGTGCCTTTCCTCACACAGTGGCTGTGTCAGACCAAAATGAGTCTCTGACCTGAGGATGTTCCCTAATCAGTCCCCTAGAGTAGTTCAGTTTTTACCAGCAGATTCTTAGCATGCTGATGCCCTCTAAATAATATTGTTTGACATAGTAGGATTTCTCTCCACTGCTGTCTCATCTCTTACTAAAACCTGCAAACCCAGTTCAATCCTGTGAGGGCTGTGGTTTGTACCAAGTATAAGATCTTTTATCTTTTGGAAACTGCTTCTATTTGCCCTTCCCCAGCCAGCCAACTACATCACTGAGGCTCTACTCAGGTCGCTTCTCCATGTTTTCTGTCTGTCTGCTTTCCACAAATCCTTTTATTACTTGCCTGGATTCCCAAGGCTGTTCTTCTATTTCTCTCTTCGATATAATGTCTATTGTTTAGTATTCGGACTCCTTCATACTTCACACAGAGTCAGCCTATAACTAGCCATCCTACCTAAAAATCCATCTGAACAGAACATTTTGGGATATTATTCTACTGTGTTCCAGCTCCTTTTATTGTCAGTCTTTTGTTTATGTGAAGGAAATGCATTTTTATTATTTGTTAGTTTTGCCTATTGACTTTTGTATTTAATTTATGAAATCTTATCCTAATGAAGTTATAAGTTTATTTCTTTTACATAATCCAAAATCTTTGTACTGTGTCCATGACTCTTCAGATATAGCTTCTTTTTTTTAATCTTTCTCTCTCTGTCTCTTTCTGTTTGGTGCTAATAAAGTTTATTGTATAGTTTTCAGAGGTTGGAGGAAAAAAGCATGGCTTCAGGGCTCTGAACTTGTTCCTTCCCAGCCCCAAGCATACCCAGGAAACTGACCTCTTTCTTTTTGTGTTGATTGTATTGTGTTACTGAACATGGGTGTATGCTATAAACACAGAAGGCAAAAATGTTTTGGGACAGGGTTTCTCTGCATATCTGTCTATCCCGTTACTTACCATGCAGACCAGGCTGAGCTCAAACTTGAAGAGATCCACCTGGCTCTGCCTCCAGAGGGCTGGAATTAAAAGCATGCACCACCATGCCCCAATGGTATGGTACGTTCTTTTCTTTCAGGTATTGATTCTGTAGGTTGGAGTAGAGCCTGAGTTTTTGTGTTTCTGACCAGATTCCAGATGACGCCAATACACCACCCATAGTCTACACATTGGAATCAAATGTGTGCACAATTAGCAATGTTTAAAGGTTTAGTTTGAATACATATGATTTGAGTACAAACGTCTTCCTTTTGAACACTGAACTACTGTTTTATTGGGGTTGTCCTTAAGCAGGGAACTGGTCTAGTAGATGACTCCAGGGAATTTAGTACATACTAGTTACTCTTACAGGTAACTTGCTGGCTACTAGGGTCCCTCTGAGAAGCCTGATCACTGTCCCAACAGGAGATAGGGAGGCTCGGATCTCATCCACTAGTACTTTAACTCATTTGTCCCTGAGATGGAAGCCAATGAGATATGAAGATGACATGGTCTGGGATCTGTCAGAGGTAGACTGTGAACTCAGATATGGGGAAAAGCATCAAAATCATTATATCAGTTTCCTTTTGGATCTAATGAAATGCTCTCTGACAACTGATAGGCTACCTGACAGCTAGGCTTTGAAGGTCTCAGCCCAAGCATGGCAAACATGGCACCAGCAGGCCCTGCCCTCTCTCTCTGCTTCCCTCTCACTTGATAAACCATTGGATTCTCTGATTTGGCCACTTCCTTATGCCTGACTCATACCTGAGGGCAACCACCAAGGTCCAGCTATCAAAATTACCCACTTGGCTACACTGACTGACAAGTTCAACTAGAACCTACCAACTCATTCTAGCTCATGGACCTCCCCCTTTTTTTCTTTTAAAAATCATTCTTTCAGAGCATTTTGCTGTTGTTTCTGCCTGATTCTGAGTCAGCTACCTTGTGTCTCTGTCTTGCTTAATAGAGGATCTGCTTGTCTTAGAAATTGCTATTTGAATGTGTTCTGTGCCTAACTCAAGGTCAGAAAGAAGCTAAGATATGGGCGGGCAGTCCAGAGTTGGCTTTGCTTTGGGCAAAGCTTGTTGGTGCAGAAAGAACACACCTGTTGTCTGGGAGAAGGTGGAGCATCCACTGGAGTTAGCCCAAGGTGACTTATATGAGCTTAAAAGTTACATAGGACTTAGAACACATCTTTTCCTCATCCACCCTTGTACTTGCTGCAGGCCCCTCCTAGTAGGAGCAATATTGTAGCACTTCATTTTACATCACCTAGTCCAGTCATCCACCCAGGGGAAATCCCATGATGGTTTTATCCTCGGTCAGGTCAGAATTTGTAACTGTATTTCCTGCTTACTACACTTACATGCTTAGCATGCACTTCCTTTTCAAGGCTCTCTGATAAGTCACAACCATGTTGTAATTGACATTTATTCCAATAAATGCTCAGCAAGCCCTCCAACACAAAGAACCAACAATTATCTAGGGTGCCAGGCAGTCCGGGACACACTGAGGCAGGACTTCCTTTATGCTGTGAATAAAAGGCCTGGACCCGGTAGAGCTTGTCAGCGAAGCCGGGCACAGCAGTGGCTGTAGCTCTGTATAGCGCAGACACAGCTCTTCTGAGATCAGGTTGGAGATGCAGCCTGTGGCTTTCACTCACTGATCAGAAGCTCTTGCTGCTTGACTCTAGCCTTAGTGCTCTCTGTCCCCTTGTACTTGTATGGGAGTTAAGAGTTTCTGCTTCTCTGGGGCAATAAGCTGAGTCTTAGGATGTAAGAGGAGCTTGGTGAGACTTGAATTAGCGAGTCACTGTTAGCTGGTCACCAGCTCCCCTGACTTGGGGTCAAACTGGGACTTAGGACTAACTCTGTTCCTCCTTAGGGTCAGTCTGCTAGTTTGGCAGTTCAGAAACAACAGCACCACAATGAGTATGGCTACAGGTAAAGATCAACTTCATGGAAGACCAAAAGATTGAAAAGGGGAGATGTTCTGTGCCTTTGTACTTACGAATCCACATTTACTTTCTTTACAGGACAAGGCGCAGCAGTACCTTGGCGAACATACATTCAGGATCTTAGTAGTCGTGTGTGGGTCCTTCATAACAATGTCCTCACTGCAGTCCCAAGGAAAGAACGGACCATTCCAGGTGGGTAGCCTGGGCCCCTTGTGGCAGTCCTTCTGGCTAATTCTGTGGATCTGCCCTCGTCCATTCATTTCTAGCCTTATCTAGAGATGAGCATCGCAAGGATAGTTTAAACTAGAGGGCAGGCATAGGTTTGGACAGCCATAGGATGGGTCAAGGAAAAGAAAAGAGACTCCAGGAGTAGTAGAGGGTTAGGTTGAAGAAGTGGTGGAAAAAAAAAATTCTGTGAAGGTTCAAAGAGTCAAATAAAAAAGGAAAGATCTATGAGATTAGTTGTTGAATCTATGAGAAGCTGATGTCTCTAATAGAAAAAGATACACAAATGAGATACATGTCTGAGCCAGGTGGTGCATGGCAGGGTGACATGAAGGTTGGTGAGAAGATTCAAGCCTCTATTTCTATTTCTCTAGTTTAGAGCTAATGCTTTTGAAGCACAAACTGAACTTCGCTTTTCGCCTTTTATTCCCAGTCACTGTTACCTTAATCCCGTGCCTGTATCTGGAGACTCTTGAGAAGGACAAGGGGGATCCCGTGTATCTGGGAGTGAACAAACCTCAGTGCTGCCTGTTCTGCACAAAGGATGAAGGACAGCCTGTGCTGCAACTGAAGGTGAGTTCAGAAGAGAGGAATCTGCTCTCTCCTGGCCAGGGGAGAGGAACCAATCTACTTCCATACAGCACCTACTTGACAGAAATGCTGATTTTCAAATCTTTTAGGACTTTAGGCAGTTCACAGATAATCCTTACACTGATCTATTGTTCGCTTAAGAGTGCACGCATCACTAAAGAATAAGAAAAAAAAAGTAGGGGTATTTTGAAACTAGGTTTTCAAAATAGCATTTTCTTTTATTTTAAAGGTAAGTTTTGTCAAAGATTTTTACTGCTCAGTTACTGCTGAGTGTCTGTGTTCATAGGTACAGGCATGGGTCTGTGTGCATGTGTGTGTGGTTCAGAGACTAACACTGGGTTTCTTCCTTCATCTCTCCCCTGTTATTTTTAAGATAGCACCTCTCACTAAATCTGGTGCTTACCAATTAGGCTAGGTGGGCTGGCTAGTGTAAAAAACAACAGCAAGGGCACTTAAACTGTCACAAAGTGGATGGGTTTATCATAGTATCTTCTACACAAAATAACTTTTTGTGAAAAAAGATAAATATCAACAACGGGCATCTTAATAACCATGACTTGTCATTTTAAAAATATACATTATAATAAAGCAATTACACTAGACCTCATGATCCTTTCAATATGCAGTTATAGTCAGACACTCAGTTTTATAACTAAACATAAAAAAATTATTTTCAATTAGGAATTATTTTGCTTTTTGACGAGTTGTCAATGTCAAGATACTTTGAGTAGTGTGGTGGTTTTATGAAAATGGCCTCCATGGACTCACAAGAAGTAGCACTGGAGTTGTGGCCTTGTTGGGATAGGCATGGCCTTGTTGGAGGAAATTTATCTCAGCTTTCCTCCTGCTGCATGTGGATTATATGTAGCACTCTCAGGTCCTTCTCCAATGCCGTGTCTGCCGGCAGGCTGCCGTGTTTTCTCACCATGACAATAATGAACTAAATTTCTAAAACTGTATGCCAGCCCCAATTAAAGTTTTCCTTTATAAGAGTTGCTATGGTCATGGTATCTCTTTAAAGCAATAAAACCCAAACGAGGACAGGTGGTTACAATCGGAGGCAAGAGTGTGTTAATTTTGTAGTGTGAAGAGGGCAAAGACACAGCTAATCAAGCTACAACATACAAAAAGGATAGCCCTGACAAATACGTCCATAATGTTAAGATTGGAAAAATTTTGCAGAAACATTTGTATTTCACTCAAAATTTATGCTAACTATAATGAAAACATTCTTCAAACATCTTTATTTGTAGGAAACAGGAACTAAGTGGCTAAACCAACACTATATAACCTCCAAAACTTTTGTTTATTTATTCTTTCAAAACTTCACATTAAGCTGGGTGTGGTGGTACATGTCTGTAATCCCTTGTGAGGCAGGTGGATCTCTGTGAGCTCCAGGCAGCCTGGTCTGCAATGTGAGTCCAGGACAGCCAAGGCTACACAGAGAAACTCTGTAGAAAGAAGGAAGGAAGGAAGGAAGGAAGGAAGGAAGGAAGGAAGGAAGGAAGGAAGGAAGGAAGGAAGGAAGGAAGGAAGGAAGGAAGTTCACATTAAGAGTGACTGAGCCAGGTGGTGGTGGCAGCCCACACTTAATCCCAAAATTTGGAAGGCAGAGGCAGAGAGATCTCTGAGTTCAAGGTCTGCCTGGTCTACAGAGTGAGTTCTAGGACAGCTAAGGCTACAAAAAGACACCTTGTCTTGAAAAAACAAGAAGGAGAGAGGGGCTGAAACATCTGGACACGATGCCACCTACCTCTGCTCTGAGCATTGAGGGTACCCAGAGAGAATTTGCCTCAAAACAGTGAAAATATCAAACTACAGACAAACAAACAAAATTGAAATTTGTGTCCTAATGTTTCTACTATACTCTTAACATGTATTAGGGGCATATGATTCTTAATATTTGAGTATGAAACTGAAGTCTCCAGGCTTGCTTTAAAAGTTGAGGCTGATGTTAGAGACAAGAACACAGTTCCTGTGGTGATGTTTCTTCCTGGGTTCTCTTTCTCACCCACCAGAAAGGGGACATAATGGAACTGTACCGCCAAAAGGAACCTGTAAAACCCTCTCTCTTCTATCACAACAAGAATGGCACAACCTCAACGTTCGAGTCTGCAGCCTTCCCTGGTTGGTTCATTGCTGTCTGCTCCACAGGAAGCTGTCCACTCTTTCTGACCCAAGAGCTAGGGAAAACCTCCATCACTGACTTTCAGATGAGTACAATGCATTGATGTCAGTCTTATAATGGATGTTGCTTCCCAAGCAGAGAACCCTGCCTTTGCTTCCACCATTCTAGCTCTCAAAGCCCTTCCTTCATGCATGAACATTGTTATCCTATCCAATACTTTAAGGAAAGACAGCTTTGCTCATGCTATGCTGGTTAGTTTGTGTCAACCTGAAATAAGATAGACTATATCTGGACACAGGGGTCTTTTCTGAGACTGATTCTCCAACCAGGTACCATGAATGGATATAACCTAGAACCCCTGCTCAGACATAGCCCATGGCAGCTCAGTGTCCAAGTGGGTTTCCCTAGTAAGGAGAACAGGGACTGTCTCTGAAATGAACTCAGTGGCTGGCTCTTTGACTCCCGCTCTCCCCCAAGGGAGGAGCAGCCTTGCTAGGCCACAGAGGAGGACATTGCAGCTAGTCCTGATGAGACCTGATAAACTAGGGTCACATGGAAGGGGAGGAGGATCTCCCCTATCAGTTGACTTAGAGAGGGGCAGGGAGGGGATGAGAGAGGGTGAGTGGGATTGGGAGGGAATGAGAGAGGGAGCTACAGCTGGGATACAAGCTGAATAAACTGGAATTAATATAAAAAATAAAAATTTAATTGAAAACGATAGACTCAACTGGGAAGAAGAAATTTCATTTAAGAAAGTATCTCCATTATCTTGGCTTGTCAGCAAGTCTGAGGGGCATTTTCTTGATTAGTGATCAATGTGGGAGGGCTCAGACCACTGTGGTTGCTGCTACACCTGGGTGGGTAGTTCCAGAGTGTATAAGAAAGCAGGCTGAGCAACCCATGTAGAGAAATCAGTATTCCTCTCTGGTCTCTGCTTCCAGTGCCTGTCTTGAGTTCTTGCGCTGACTTCCTTCAGTGGTATCTAGGTGTTTAAAATGAAATAAACCTTTCCTTCCCAAGTTGTTTTTGGTAAGTGATTTATTACAACAACAAATAAGCAAACACACACACACTTTCCAGAGATAGAAAGCAGGTTAAAGGATAATGCACAGAAAAGCTTGGGCCTAGAATAGGAAGAAAGAATCTGTTACTGGCCTTTTCACTTACGGTGAATAGATGCTCTCCATTAGACAATGATCTAAATGCTGATGTGGGGTGTGGAGGAAATAGTAGTGATATACCAGGTACCTTTGCCATGGTCATAAGGTTAAATCATGACACCATCACAAAACTAGCAAAGAGTCCTCTAGCTATAGACTTCCTGGGAATGTGTAAACTAAGAATTATAAATGGAGACCATCTGTGCTCACACTTCTGGGTTTTCAGATGCATTGTTCTGTGCCGCTATCACAAGACCTCTCAGATTCTGACAAGAAACAATCATAGACAACCCCAATAAAATGGAAGACTTAAAAGAAAGCTGAGCCCTTTCTGGGCAGTTTTCCCTCTCCGTGACAGCTGGATCCGATGCAGAACTTCTTACCATGTTTTTGTCCAAAGCACTACTGCTGGTCTTTACAAGCAGTGAGCCTTTTGAAATAAAATTGTAAATTTCACTTACTCTATTAAATATAATGATTTTAGTGGAATAAAATAGCCATTTTTTTTGCATTTATAAGAAGTTATAGTTTGTAAAGCAGGCTCACATGAAGTCTCTGTGTGTGTGATTGTATTTTTGCATGCATTTGCATGTGAAGGCCAAAAATTGATGCCAGGTTTCTTCTTTAATCACCCTCCACCTTTATATTGAGACAGAGTCTTTGATTTGGGCTCAGAAATTGTCAGTTCTGCTAGTGTAGCTAGCCAGCTTGCTCCTAGAAAATTCCCTGTATTTACCATCAGAGGGCTGGGATTATAAATGGGACACAAGGCTGGTTAAGTGTTGGGCTTTTTTTGTTTGTTTGTTTGTTTGTTTTGTTTTTGTCAATTTGATCCAAGCAAGGGTCATCTGAGAAGAGGGAACTTCAGTTTCAGTTTTGGAACATTTTCTTGATGAATGACTGATGTGGGAGGGTCCAGTTTGTCATGGTCTGATCCCCCTCTGTGCTGGTGATCATGTTGTATAAAAGAGCAGGCTAAAAAATCCATGATGAGCAAGCCAGTAGGAAGCATTACACCAATGATCTCTGCTTTAGTTTCTGCCTCCAGAAACTGCTTGAGTTCTTGCCTGGCTTTTGTGGTGGCTTGAATAAGAATGCCCCCCTCCCACGGCTCATATATGGTTTGGAAGGATTGGTAGGTCTGGTCTTGTTGGAGGAGGTTGTTGCTGGAGTGGGCTTTGAGATTTCAAATGCCCAGGTCAAGCACAGTTTTGCTCTCTCTGCCTGCTGCTTGAGGATCAAGATGTAAAGCTCTCAAGCTATTGCTCCAACGCCATGTCTGTCTACTTCCCACCATAATAATAATGGACTAACCCTCTGAAATTGTAAGCAAGAACCCAGTCAAATGTTTTTCTTTATACATGTCACCTTTCACTTGGTGTCTTTTCACAGAAATAAAAGAGTAACCAGGGCAGTGTCCCTCAGTAATAGCCTGTGTGACCAGATGTGTAAGGCAAATAAATTATTTCTTCTCTAAACTGCTTTTGATTATAATCTTTATGAAAGCAATAGAAAGCAAACTGGCACAGCTGCCATGCCTGCCCAGGTCTTACATGGGTCCTGGGGATTTGAGCTCTGGTTCTCACACTTGAGCAGCAACTACTTTATCCTTTACTTCATTTCTTCAGTCCCAAGTCTCTTAGCTTTTAGAATTAGCAAGATTTCTAAGAAAGGTGGTCTCTTCTAAAACCAGATTCCTCAAGGGTTGAATATGGGAGCGTTAGGACAAACAGGGATCCATTAATAGAAATGTATTCTGTATTTCATATTCTATATGTATGCATAATGCAGATGCATAACTTACTGAAAATCTCCTGCCCTGCCCTGGTATGTGCTTCTCTGAGCATCTTTTGAGGTTTTTCTTTGAACTCATTAACCATAAACTGCCTTAGCTTTCATATATGGAGGGCATATTCATTTTCAAAGGCTTATCTTTTCCTATATGCTTTTAAAAAATACAGTTTTCTTAAGAATGTTTTTCAGTAATTCCTTGAGAGTCTCCTACAATGTTTTTTGCTCATATTCACTCCATCCCCAGATGTCTCCCAGATCCACCCCTTTTTCCCTACCCTCCCAACTTTGTGCCCTCTTTTCATGTTTGAAAACTAAACATTGAGTTTAGTTTTCACTGCCTTACAGGATGCAGACATGTTCAGAACTTTCTTTTATTATGCACACACACACACACATACATGAAATTAGTTCTTTGCAGTGTAGTGGTTGATAAAAATAGTCTATTCAGTCCTGCTGGAAAAAGACAGGGAGTCAAGGTCTCCCTTTACCTTCAGTGAAAAGGACCATATCAGTTAATTTCTTTCAACCACTTCTTGTGCTACAAAACTTCAAGAAATACATTGATGGATTCATTTTTTTAACTTGAATATGCATCAAATACTTCTGAAGACACAGCTGGGTAAATGATCTTCAGAAGAATTAGGTGTGATTCATCTTCAAGCACAGTGACAACTCAACACTACAAGATATTGAACTCAAAACCCCTCTTACACGTTTCTGCTCAGTGGCCCTTTTATAAGTTTCTTAAAACTTTTTATATTTGGGTCTCTTAAAAAATATCTGAAAATTTTAATATTACTCAGCAATGAAAAATAAGGAAATCATGAAATTTGCAGGTAAATGGTGGGAACTGGAAAGGATCATCCTGAGTGAGCTGTCCCAGAAGCAGAAAGACACACACGGTATATACTCACTCATATAGACATATAATATAGGATAAACATACTAAAATCTGTACATCTAAAGAAACTAATCAACAGGGAGGGCTCTGACTAAAATGCTCAATCCCCATCCCGAAAGGAAAAGAGGATGGACATTAGAAGAAGAAGAAAACAGGAAACAACCTAGAAACCTGCCACAGAGGGCCTCTGAAAGGCTCTGCCTGCAGACTATCAAAGCAGATGCTGAGCCTGATCACCAACTGTTGGGCAGAGTGCATGGAATCTTATGAAAGAAGAAGGAAATAGTAAGATCTGGAGAGGAGAGGAACTCCACAAGGAGAGCAACTGAACCAAAAAATTTGAACACAGGGGTCTTTCCAGAGACTCATACTCCAACCAACTACCATGCATGGAGTTAACCTAGAACCCCTGCACAGATGTAGGCCATGGCAGTTCAGTGTCCAAGTGGGTTCCATAGTAATAGGAAGAGGGACTGCCTCTGACATGAAAGGATTGGCCTGCTCTTTGATCACCTCCCCCAGAGGGGGGAGCAGCCTTACCAGGCCACAGAAGATGACAATGCAGCCACTCCTGATGAGATCTGATAGACTAAGATCAGAAGGAAGGAAAGGGGGGCCTCCCCTCTCAGTGGACTTGGGGAGGGGCATGCATGAAGAAGGGGGAGGGAAGGTGAGATTAGGAGGGGAGGAAGGAAGGGTTTATGGGGGGATACAAAGTGAATAAAGTGTAATTAATAAAAAAAGAAAATAAAAATAAAAAAGACCTAAAAAAAAAAAAAGAGGTCCCCCACAGAGGGGGAGAGGGAAGCATGAGAAGAGTTGGAAGGGAAAAGAAATGGATGGAAATAATGTTACGTAAGTATATGTGTATGAAATTTTCAAAAAAATAAAACATTACTACATGAAAAAAATATCTGAAAATTTTCCTGGGTTCACTTTCTTAAACTATTGAAATAACAATGACCTTGGTTTTAGAAAACTACATCTGGGGATGATATCACCGTGTGATTTAAAAAGAAAACAAGACCACAAGAGCTGGACTGAGGCTGAAAGGCAAAGATTTATTCAGGGATGACTGTTGACTGTCCCCAAGAAAAAGGAATTTATCACCATTAAAAAAGAGTTTGGGGATTTTATAGGGTGTTTTTAGTTGTTGTGGGAGTGTGGCAGGAAAGCATTAAGGGAAAAGAGGATTGTCTCAGGCAACGAGGATTGCAGTAAGCAAAACTTTATGGATGTCAGAGGGCT